CATGCCTGAAACAGGTTCTGAATTCCAACATATATCACCTGAGGGAGCTTACAACAGTCAAAAAATTATGAATATGACAATAAATATAAAGAGTTACAATACCATACGTCAGAAATATAGACATACATTTTTTTTTGTCCTTAATTTTTACTCTAATGAGAGAGGACTAATAAATTGGTTTAGTTGTTTTTAGTCATTATATTTTGATATTACTAATTTACAGTAATATATATATATATATTTTTTTTTTTTTGTTGCCCCCACCTCTTTCTTTTAATATGTCTTTTTTTTTTATTGCTTTAATAAAATTTTGTATACCCACAAAAATATTTCAATATTCAAATGTTAAATTTACACATTGTGACCCGGATATAGGAGAAACCCGGATATAAGAGAGATTTTCTCTGGTCCCAAATTAGAGCCTGTGTTAATGTATATAAAATAGACCAAACCCGGATATAAGAGTCTTCTTCTCCGGTCCCGACAACTCTCTCTAGCATCATGAACTTTCGGAGTTGTGTCCCCTGGATCCATATTAATTTTGAGTGCACTAAATTTTTGAATGTTGGGTATTTTACTAGCACTGTAACTTTTAGGGTTTTAGAGATATTGTTATAAAATTTTCAGGGTATTTGCATGAAAGGATGTAGAAAATGTAGACATTTTTTTTTTTACTGTATATATTAACAAATTCTGAGAAAAAAACTAAAAATAAAAAACATGAAAACTAAAAAAAAAAAGTTTGTATTTTAATAAGCTTACTTGTTAATTGTGTAATCCAGGCCTGCAATCCACCTTGTAGTTGGCCAAAGTATGATAGAATTCAAAGCAGGGGTAGGGACACATGGGAACCTGACAACACTGGCACACATAAGTAGTTTGATGCCTCTGTTTGTTCCTGCTGGAGCACACCACACAGTTGGGCGCAGAGGGCTTTCCAGTGCTGACACGCTTGGGATTTTTCATGATGCAGTGCTCACCCATAACCAGTCTGGAGTGTCACTGGGGTACCTTCTTCAGCGAGAGCTCAGCTGATACACTTCAAAAGGCCTGTGCACTATCTTCAGGTGGAATTTTTTTTTGATTGATGTATAATACTCTCCAAATGATACAAAAATTACAAAAGCAACCTTGATTTAACAACAAAAAAAAAAAAAAAAAGCTTTCTTCCACCACTTGCCATGTCTAATGGATGTCAGTTATCTCCTGTTAATTCACCTCTCCAAGTTCTCCACTGCCTTAACCAGGTATTGAACTCATACTCTTTGTGTCCTGTCACTGGATCTAACCAATGCCTTTATCCACTATGCCATGTGTCCTCGAGGACCCAAAGAGTATGAGTTCAATACCCGGTTAAGGCAATGGAGAACTTTCAGAGAGGGAATTAACAGGAGATAACTGATAACTGACATCTATTAAACATGGCACTTAGAACTAGAACAGTCTACTCCAGCAAGCAAAATAAAGGGTTCAGTTCAACATACCAGCCACCTGAAGAAGGCCAGAGTGTACAACAGCCGAAATGTTGTAATAAATATGGAGACAAAGATGAGGACAATAGTCCGAATAATGTAAATAGTGTACATAATACCGAAAATATAGACAAACATGGCCATGGTTGTAAAGTAGACAAGCCAGTAATGTGACTACCCTATGTGTGTTTCTAGTATTTTTTTCTTTTCTTAAGTACAATTTCCAATTATAAAAGGTAGCCAATCTTTGCTTCCGCAAATGCCCAGGATTTCATTCCTCATTTTGACGCCTTTTTGGGCATGTACTGCATGAGATTCATCCTCTCTTTGAAAGCAATCAAACTTTCATCCAAACTTATTTCTTTAGTGACAGTCTACTACCATTCTAAAGTGAAAGAATATTTTTTCATATCGGGGGTCATCTCTGGGTACTGCTGTTAAATCATCAACAAGATAGAAATACGACAGAATTGATAAAGAAAGCAATTCCTACTCATCACATTGTAAAAGCCTTGCATACATAAAAGGGGGTCTGTTGTCCAGTAAAACAAATACGATTGTTGCTTTATCAAACCTATCATCAAAAGCAAGGCCAAAAATGCTTTCATTTCTTCAAAGCAAACTTTTTTCTAAGCTCTGATCTGTTGATCTGTGAATTGAACTTTGCTGTGTCATCTAAATTTGTTTTTACTTCATTTGCATACCAGTTAGTTTCCACTACCATAAATCTAATAACTTTGTTAAATAAAAAAAAAATAAAAAATATGTCTACCTCACTAGCTTCTTGATCAACATTTGTAGGTCCAGGAATAAAGGAAAACTCTGGTAGGTGATCATATCCTTGTGATAGTTTGAAAATTCCTCCTTGGTCAAAATCACTTTTTCAGTCTCACTGTCATGCATATCACCAATATCTGCATGAGTAAATCCCAGAAATTCTTCTTTGTCATTCTCACTGTCCATGAAAACTTCCTCTTTTGGCTTAACAGATTCGCGCCTTGCCATTGTGATAAAAAAAACAAATGTTTTTAAAACACTTTTTTTTTTTTTTTTTAAATTCACTGATAAAACAACTATTGCAATCAGAACAAAATGGCTGACTTCCGATCATTCCGAGTTCATATCACAAGATTAATGACGCCATTTACATAGTAATAGGTTATTTTTAGAAAACAGTTTCCCTTTGAAACAATGGTCTGTCACATGGTGAACATGTCTGCCTGGAAAATATTGAGAAAGAATATCACCAGCAGATATCTATGCCTGCAGAGTTATTACAGTTAACTATATATTTTTGATAGACCCTACACTAGTTAATTTAAATAATCTTTTCACAGATACACTGTAAAATATTCCAATATTTCATTCATATATATGTAGATAGCTTTGTATAGGTTAACTGAAATGGTTTTTTTTTTTTGTCCTCCAACATAGTGCCGGCCTCCCAAGAGTTCTTTATATAGGATCATCTTCAGGAGATGGTCTTCAGGCATCCTGATAACATGACAAATCCACCTGAGCCGCTGTTAGATGATAAGAGCTGCTGTTAGATGATAAGAGCCTCAAATGCTTCTGCCGCTGATACACTGGAGAATATTGACAGGTATTAATCCTGGAGAACTGGAAGTTAGAGCAGCCAATCGCAATAATTGGAGTAAACTATGCTATCAGGCCATTGAAAGATTTGAATCTAGCTGAACTCAAGACCAGGAATTTCGCTGGCAACAACATCATGATAGCCTGGTGTGGGGGCCACCACTACTACCAGGTGTCAGCATTCAGTGTCCAACTTGTGGACGGCAATGTGCATCCCAATTTAGTCTTCACAGCCATCAACCAGCAATCTCTTCAATTCTTATTTGGTGGGCAGACATTGCAGACTTCATTAGATAGGTTAACCATATATTTATGACATTAGTTAATTTGAATAATATTTTTGACAGACATTCAAAATATTTCAATTTTCAATGTTACATTTTACACATACATGCATAGTGGAGTAATGGAAAATGGCTCAGATTGAGGAAATAGAAAGCTGAGTTCAAATTCCGGCCAAACTATTACAATCCCATACATGCTAATACCCTTGCGAAAAGTATTAATCCTCTTCTTCTCCCTGCCAGCTATGGGTAAATAGCAGGACAGACCGGATTCTATAGCCTTGGATGGCAACTGGTCTAAAGCAGAAAGAAATGGCAACCTACTGCAGGGAAAAAATCTGCCTTGTCAGTCATGCATCGAAAGTTACATGATTAGCTAAGCGTGTATCACGCATGACACATAATTGACTGAAATTCACTTACATGATAATAGCCTTTGGAAAGCTATGAATCCTCTTCCCCCCCCCCAACCAGTTATGGGTACATAGACAAAACTCTTCATCATAATGTGTGAGCTGTACTTGTATGAACAATTTTTTGTGTTTCTTTAAGGCATGGACTACCTTCAATGAGTCTATCTATTATTATTCAAAATTTTTCTCTCTGTAATATCCTTACAGGACTACTATGATTGTGTCATGTGTTTATTTGTTCTCACGGGGGAGTAATGGATAGCAACTCAGATTGAGGAATCGGAGAGCCGAGTTCAAATTCCGGTCAAATCCATTGCATTCACTTATGTGCTAATACCCTTGGGAAAAGTATTAATCCTCTTCTTCTCCCTGCCAGCTATGGGTAAATAGCAGGGCAGACTGGGTTCTATAGCCTTGGATGGCAACTGGTCTACCACAGAAAGAAATGGCAACCTACTGCAGGAAAAAAATCTGCCTCGTCAGTCATGTATTGAAAGATACATGACCACCTAAGCATGTTACCACACATGGCACATAACTGACTAAGATAAATCTGTATAGGTTAACAATATTTTTTTGTCAGACCCTACACTATTTTAAATAATATTTTTACAGAGACTGCCAGTACTTTATTGTAATTTGGATTTAATTCATGGATATTTACAATGAGAGAATCTCATTCATATGGCTGTCTTGTGCCAAAATTTAACGAAACAGCAAAAAGATTGTTTGAAATGGGTTTAATGAATCAATATTTTTTTTTTTTATATATACCAGTCTTTTCAAGGCATGAACATTTACAGCTCTCCACAATCTTTTTTCTTCATTATCTAGGAATTATCATGACTTCTTAGGAAAGGTAGTGAAGTAGTTTCAAAGAATTCAGAATTGTCCTTCTCTTAGACTGGTTGCTTTCATAGAACCCAGTCTACCCTGCTATTTAATCAATAGCTGGAGGGAGAAGAGGAGGATTCATGCACTTCCCCTGGGCCTTAGTGTGAAAATGAATGCAACAGACTGGACCGGAATTAATGACTTAAAATTTAATAAAGCTTGTTTTTTTTGTTTTTTTATCAGAGAGAGAATAAAGAAAAAAAAAAAAAAAAAAATAATTTTTTTCCCTGGTCACATTGTGACACTTTAAATATTTTTCTTAGGGTTACTTTGCAAGCCTTTTGAAAAAAAAAAATCCTTGAATAAAAATAATATCAAGTAAATCAAAACTGGGTCCCTACTTTTTCAAGGAGCTGCCTTCTTGATTTGATTCAATGTCACTTTCACTTGAAGCAGTTGCATCTGAATCTCCAGAAGAGTCATTTATTTTTTCGTACGGCAGTAATCGATCAAGGAGGAAACTGTCAAACAAAACAATATCAATCAATTACTTTATTTTTTTCTTGCATTTTATGGCAATGTTCAGGAATTGTTAACATTTTCCAAATCAACAACCCATATCCTCTTAGTTTAAACTGAAACTAACACCACTTTTCCACCATATATGACCATTGTAGAAGTCTTCAGTTTAAACCCAGGAAAATATGGGTTAAAAATCTTGTTCTTTTCAACTCACATCCTTCTGGTATCAATTTGAACTGACATTTTATCTTTCATATATATTGAGACCATCTTGTTTAAAGTTTGTATTTTCTTGATTTCACATGAAAACTTGCAAATTTTTCAACTTAATTCAATGAAATATTCACTTTTCAAAATTATAGTTTAATATTTAGATATATGGAAAAATCATGCCATTTTAAACTCATGTCAAGAGAATAAGAGTTAAACTGGTCAAAGCCTTCTTTTTTCCATATATGGCCACCATTTTGCTTAAAGTTTATATTTTCTTGATTTCACATGAAAACTTCAAATTTTTCCAACATATTATAGTTTAAATATATGGAAAAAAGAAATCATCTGTTCAAATTGATACCAGGAACACATGGGTTAAACTGACACCCTTTTCTTTTCAAATATTGTGACAATTTTGCTTAAAGTTCATATTTTCTTGATTCCAAATGAAAAATAGGAAATTTTCCAACATATTTCAGTGAAATTTTCATTTTCCAAAATTATAGTTTACTATTTAGATATATGGAAAAATGGTGTCATTTTAAAGGATATGGGTTAAACTGGTTAAAGCCTTCTTTTTTTCATATATAGCCACCATTTTGCTCAAAGTTCATATTTTCTTTATTACAAATGAAAACTTGGAAAATTTCCAACATATTTCAGTGAAATTTTCACTTTCCAAAATTATAGTCAATAATTCTAGCTTAGATATATGGTGAGGGGGTAAGTTTAAACTTATGCCAAGAGGATATTGGGCTAGGCAAGCATCAATGAACTGAAACCATTTATTTCCAATTCATGAGGCATACTTAAGTCACAGAATGAAAAATAAATGAAAATCCCTGAAATAAAAAGCAACATTTTAAAAGATGAAAGATAACTAAATCGAAATTTAATAATAAAAAAAGCTTCACTGAAAAAATTAAAACAGCTTAAGACAATTATACCTACTACAAGTAGTAGTAGACAGAAAAATAATAGGGCAATGAAAAATTTGAAAAAGGATGGAGCTATTGAACTAGATTTAAGAATTAAAAGCTCTTATGTATTTTATTCTGAACAAGTAATGGATTTTTTATTTTCAAGATTCTATAATGAGAAGGATTTTGTTTAAAGGCACTGTTCAGCCTCACTTCATCAGTGAAGCCACTATTCAGCCCTGTTTGATTTGCAAAGACACTATCCATCTTCGCTTGATCAGTAAAGCCACTATTCACTCCTGCTTGTTTGCCAAAGCCACTATTCACTCCTGCTTGATCAGCAAAGGCATTATTCAGCCCTGCTTGATCAGCAAAGGCACTTTGTGGACGAGTCAGTTACAGCATGTCTGATCTAACGATGGTTCCTTCTGCCCAGGGAGACACAGGTTCAAATCCTTTAACAAAATTTATTGAATATTCACGTTGGTAGAAAACAAATATACTATTTAATAAATAAACAGAGCATCTACTCAAATATGAGTATCCACTATAAATAACATTTAAAGTAATAAAATAACATGTTTTATTAAATTTAAATTAGCAAAGTCTGTTTAACCCTTTAGCATTCAACATACTCAAACGTGCCTCATAAATATCGGCTCTCAAAGTCTCATTGCTTGTGTGACTTCCTGCATTATTTGTGATGACATAGTCATATATTATGGCAGAGTATACATGGGATGGGTTACGGCAGGTTGAACGTTGAGACCAGGTTGTACATTTACAGGTGATGGTTGAATGCTGAAGAGATAAAGTTTTCTTGTAGTTTTCCAATTTTCAAATAAGTCGTTACATGTCCAGATAAAACTTGGGGATTAGTTTTGCTTGACTACTTTGAATGACATCACTTATGCATCAAGAGGTCCCCAGCCACTGGGCCGTGGATCATTTGCTACCTGGTTGCAAAGAAATAATTAAACTTGTTTAAAATTATATAATACTAGGTTGGCTAGAAAGTCCCAACTCACTTTTGAAGTGGAAAGAAAATAACAATCTTGATCTGTCTGGTGGAATTTCCAAGGAGTACTGTATTTCGAGCCTGTTCCACATGGTCGCCCCATCAATGCTAAATTGTATTGCAAGCAGCTTGATTGTGTGTAAAATAAACTAAAGGAGTATCCTGCTTTGGTCAATCAAGGTCAGGCTTTATTTTAGCAAGACAATACAAGGCCACACACTGCCAGGTTGACTAAGGAAAATTTCAAACACATGGACAGTGTTAAGATTCTTTTACATTCACCATTCAGTCCTGATGCTGCTCTGTGTGACTATGGCCTATTCCGCTCAATGGCACACTCCCTCCACAACCAGCGATTCAACACTTGATGAAGTGAAGGAATCCTGTTTAGTTTTTGATTCAAAGCCAGCAGACTGGTATCTGAGACAGATTCAGATACTGGCTGATCACTGGCAGAAGATTATCGAGAATGATGGACTTTATTTTGAAGAATAAATGTTGGTGTTGCTCCATAAATTTTTGTTGTTTACTTTCTGCTTCTTAAGCGAGTCAGGACTTTCTGGCCAGCCCAATAGATAAATTCAATGTTGAACTTTAATTTAAAAGTATTTTTTAAAATTTTCAATATTCATCTACTCAATACTATCATAATCGTAAGTACATTTTACAATTTATGTAATAAATGTGAATGTCAGACTTTTTTTTTTAAAGGGACACAACTCTTTAACTTTTAAATATCTTATTTTCTTTATCTATATAATAAATGTGAATGTCAGTGTGTCACACTTTTTCAACTTTACTCTTAGAGGCCATAGCCCAAAATATCATACCATTTTGGAATCGAGTTGATTCCATGAGCAAATTAAAAGCATTCTGGAACAGATCCAAACCCACAATCCTGAAATTTTAGATTCCCAAGTTTTCATTACTGTGATTTTTTTGAATGATAAGTTTTTATAATTTGGAAATAATCAAAATTAATTGCAAAATCCAGTGAAAGTTATCCATAAAATAATTGTTTGTACAGAAAATTGTCTTAAGTTGCAGCAGAAAAATTATCACTGAACTTTTAAAAGGTAAGCTTAAATATTAATGCAATACTTAAATGCAGCAATCAATTTTGTGTTCTGTAATTTATTGTGGTTTATCACATCTACTCCTCCATACTTATTGTGATGAAGGTCAAATCAAGAGCTCTCCATGGGAGTTAGCTTAAATGCCACCCAATAGGGCAGCTTTTAAACTAGTTAATGTATATTTTTATTTATTTGTAATAATTTTCAACTAATTTTCAGATTCTACATGATGGTGAGTTGATATTGATGTGATAACAGCATAATAGGGATTGATACAGGGAAACTAAGCATGCAAGGGTGTGGCCAGACTGGAGCCCAGATATGAGAATCAAAAGATTATCCACTTTTTTCTTTAATAAATTGCTCTTTGTATTATTGCTCTCTTTATCAAAATGCACTTAAGTTACACATATATGCCACTACCAGTCCATGGAAAGATTGCCCGGCATAAAGTCAGTTTATGGTATAAAAAAAGTTGAAGACCACTGACTTATATGATAAGCATATATTTTAATTTGAAATGTAGCGTTCCTGCAAATAACAGGACAAATTTAATAACATTTTTCTCTATGACACTAACATTAAGTTCTTGAAAATGGCCATGAATTGGAGCAGTTTATCCCCAATCTTGGTCTGAATGTGCAACAACTTACTCAAAAATTGGAAAAATACAATAAGATTAAACAGACCTCGTTAGATGAATTTAATAAAAACTTTTTTTGATTGAATTCTGAAAATATATCAAATAAAATTAAATAAGTAAATAATTGGTAATTTTGAATATCACAAACGTCTAAATGTCTTTTGTGTCCATTAAAAATAAATGAAGAAAAATTATACTGTCACAAATAATTATAATATAATAACTATAATTATCATTAATGTAATTTACCCTTTCTAAACCAATAAGAATCAACCTCATCTTTTCTCTACCCCACACAAACACTTGACACTATTCACTTTCCAGTCTTGACAGAGCCCAAAAGCATCTTTGCTATCCTCTGCCTTTCCAAGAGCCAGATCAAGCTGAAATGGAACTATAATTATCAGTCTTCACTTTCCAATAGAGCCCAAAATGCCTCTGCCTTTACAAGAGCCAGATCAGGCTGAAAAAACTAATAATATAAACAGGAGCTGCCCAGTCTTCTTTTTCCAGTCTCGACAAAGAGCCCAAAAGTGCTCTCTGCCTTTCCAAGAGCCAGATCAAGCTGAAAATGGAGTACTACTGCCATATATAAACAGGAGCTGCCCAGTCTTCACTTTCCAGTCTCGATAGAGCCCAAAAGCGCCTCTGCCTTTACAAGAGCCAGATCAGGCTGAAAATGGAGTACCACATATATTTCACTTTCCAGTCTCGATAGAGCCAAAGCCTCTGTGTTTTACAAGAGCCAGATCAGGCTGAAAATGGAGTACTACTGCCATATATAAACAGGAGCTGCCCAGTCTTCACTTTCCAGTCTCGATAGAGCCCAAAAGCGCCTCTGCCTTTACAAGAGCCAGATCAGGCTGAAAATGGGCTGATAAACAGGAGCTGCCCACTTTCCAGTCTCGAGAGAGCCCAAAAAGCTTTTCTCTTTTTACAAGAGCCAGATCCTGAAAATGGAGTATATGCATATATATAAACAGGAGCTGCCCAGTCTTCACTTTCCAGGAGCTTTACAAGAGCCAGATCAGGCTGAAAATGGAGTACTACTGCCATATATAAACAGGAGCTGCCCAGTCTTCACTTTCCAGTCTCGAGAGCCCAAAAGCCTTTACAAGAGCCAGATCAAGCTGAAAATGGAGTACTACTGCCATATATAAACAGGAGCTGCCCAGTCTTCACTTTCCAGTCTCGATAGAGCCCAAAAGTGCCTCTGCCTTTACAAGAGCCAGATCAAGCTGAAAATGGAGTACTACTGCCATATATAAACAGGAGCTGCCCAGTCTTCACTTTCCAGTCTTAGAGCCCAAAAGTGCCTCTGCCTTTACAAGAGCCAGATCAGGCAAAAATGGAGTACTACTGCCATATATAAACAGGAGCTGCCCAGTCTTCACTTTTTCCAGTCTCGATAGAGCCCAAAAGTGCCTCTTCCTTTACAAGAGCCAGATCAGGCTGAAAATGGAGTACTACTTCCATATATGAACAGGAGCTGCCCAGTCTTCACTTTCCAGTCTCAATCACCATATTGATACATGTTTTAATCCTATGTAAGCTGAAAGCTTAGATAGGTTTAAATATGGTGATTTCCTTTCATCTTTCAATGATAATGTTATTAAGCTTATCAGACAATATGAAAGGAACTTACTTAAAATAAATAGACAAAACTTGTCTATATTATTTAATTAAACATGCATCAATGAAAATTGCTGCCTAAATATACACAATATATATATATATATATATATATATATATATATATATATATATATATATATAAGCAAGTGTAAATGGATATAAATCCGACAGAATGAAGAAAAAATTTTGAAAAAAACAAACAAAAATCCTTAAATGTAGTTAAAATGAAAGAAATGTCGACGTCTGACGTTTCGGGTTTAATAAACCTTTTTCAAGACAATGATATATATATATATATATATACATACAAGGTGGGTTCATAAAGTATTGAACCTTTGGACATAAAAAATTCTTGACCTTGAAAACTTGGATTATATTGGTGGAATGAGCTGGCGAATTTTGCTGACACGCACAGCATGCACAAATCCTTCATTAAAATGGAATGCACTGACCCTGTCCTTATTTCCACTTTGTGAGCAATTTTCTGGATTGTTGACTATTTGCTGAACCTTCTCAATTGGTTCCCCGTTTCAGACTGTGGATGGCCTGCCTGAGCAAACCTGGTCTCCACTGAGGTGCAGACATGTTTTAAGTGGTTGTACCACTCCTTGTTTTGAGTTTTACCCATACCATCATTGCCAAAGGCCTACTGAATCTTCTGGATGGTATGAGTTTATCACCAAGCTTTTAGCAAAACTTTATGCAATATCTCTGCTCAATGCATTCAGTCATCATGCATGAAAAGGGAAATCTAATGAGCACACACTACATGTCTGTACTCTAGGCATAACTGCCAGGAACTGACAGTCTAGTGGTACAAAATTTTTATATATGCGCAAAAAGGGTGAATTTTGCTTATGCAACATTAATTTTGGATTTCTCTCCAGTTGTTGTAAAATTCAACTAATTTTTGTCCAAATATTTAAAATTCGACAGAATTTGAATTTGTTTTCCTGTGTTTTTACCTCTTTACAAATATAACACAAGTAAACAAAAGCAAATTCTTAATTTCAAGACAAAGACGAATCTTTGATATTTGAATTAGTAGTCCACTCAAGTTGAAATTCTGACAAAAACTGGACAGCCATCTAAATACATATACATCTGATGAAGGTCAGAGAATAGGCTGAAACTTTAAATAGATTCATAGAATAAATAACACAAACCTTTTATCTCTGGAAACCTTTAGCAATTTTCTTTGGGCTTTTCGAAGCTCTTCTAAGAAACATTCTTGCTCCTGAAAATAAATAAAAATAACATTAGCTTTTAACAAAATGAAAAATAAATTAAGGACTAAAACTTTGATGATCTCCTTATCTTTGCCATGAGAAATCCTATTTTCTACAAGTAAACAGTAAATCATTCATTTTTTTTACTAGTATTTTTTGCATCTTAATTTTAGTTTCTTTTATTATTATTAGATCACTAATACTACTAATGGGATAAATAGTAAATACAAGAAATCCTAGTGAAAAATGAATAATGGCTGACAATGCTTCATCTAATAAGAATAAAAGCCAAGATAATATTACTACTAATACTACTAATGTAATAAAAAGCAAGTGAAATTAAGATGAAAGAAATCCTAGTGAAAAATTAATAATGGCTGACAATGCTTCATCTAATAAGAATAAAAGTCAAGATAATATTACTACTAAAAAGACAACATATTTCTTGACTGGGGTAGGATTGATGTTCTATATTCCATCTGATTCTTGGTGTGTTTTTTTTTTTTTTGTGAAGTGGAAACAAGGTTGTAAAATAACAATTGTTTGACCTTTGAATGTGTTCACAAGTCAAAACATACACTGCATTTGGAGGAAAATGTATTTTTTGCTAAAACTAATATTTTTACAATTACAAAGGAAAATAGAAAAGAAAAAGCTTGTGAATATTTAAACTTAATGACACTTTGAAAATTGTTTTTAATTTCTTCCACCATCAAAAGGAAAACAAAAAAGAAAAATAAGGAGAAAAAAATTAAAAAGTAGTTAAGTGACTCATTATAATTATTTTTTGACAATTTTATGTATTCAAAATGTCAAAATATTTTAGTGAACCCAACAAGGTCCTTATTTTTATTCATTTAAAACATTTTTTTTTTTTAATAATTGAATTTACTCTGTTAGGTTTATAGAATTTGTCTGTTCCTATATAGAGATTGGTCACATGATGTTAGACAGTCTCTCTTTGGTTAATAAAAACTGCATGGATTCAGAAAAGGCTCACCACCACCAGAGAAGGGACCAGACCTGCTCCAAAGTAACGCAGGAGAAATTCTCTTTGCCGCCAATGATACCAGTTGCCAAGGGTTTTAAAGGTACAGGCTACCAAGCCCTATTAGACTCACCAGAAGGGTAAATCCGCCTAACATATTCTTTATATATAGGAAAGGACATGTAAATAAAGATCTTAATTGTATTGAAAGTATTCTTCTTGTGTTGGTCCCAAAATAAAGTAGGGCTAGCATAATAGCCACAATAGCTACTAAGATACAAGGAGTTACTGAGTGTGAAAGAATTAGAAAACAGAAACATTATTAAGAAGTGAGAACAATAGAAGAGTAATCAGGAAGACAGTAGATAACGATTGACATTGCCTTTCGATCTTTGAAGATCAAAGTTGATTGGAAAGCAAGAAGCTGGAAGAGAGTTCCACAAGTGAAAATTGAGCAAGAACAATAGAAGAGTAATCAGGAAGACTGTAGATAACGATTGACATTGCATTTCAATTTTTGAAGATCAAAGTTGAGAGGAAAGCAAGAAGCTGGAAGAGAGTTCCAAAAGTGAAAATTGAGTGAGAACAATAGAAGAGTAATCAGGAAAACAGTAGATAACGATTGACATTGCATTTAAATTTTTGAAGATCAAGGTTGACAGGAAAGCAAGAAGCTGGAAGAGAGTTCCAAAAGTGAAAATTGAGCGAGAATAATAGAAGAGTAATCAGGAAGACAGTAGATAACGATTGACATTGCATTTAAATTTTTGAAGATCAAAGTTGATTGGAAAACATGGAGTTAGAAGAGTGTTCCACAAGAAGTGTGAGAAAAGAAACTGTTAGCATAGAACTTATAGATACATTGAGCCAATTCAACTGTAGACTGAGGAGAACTTGTTACCAATTTAGTATTGTGCTTAAATTCATAAAGCTTAGGTAACATAGCAAAGAGTTCAGCCAAACAATTACCATGAAAGTATTTACTGATAGGGCGCAGGAAAGCAACTTTACAATGGCAGTGGGGAAAAAAATGGCCGACGGTGAGATGCCAGGTCAGGACCAATAATTCCCAACATTTTAAAAAAATTTTTTTTTTTTTTTTTTATAACAAGGAGTATTGTTTTTCATTGTTTTCTGGGGGGGTTATGTAACAAATGTGTCCATGATTTTGGAGGTACATATTTTATTGAAATGAAACAGTTTGTAATTAAAGAAAATTGATTTAATTATATATAGCCGGTGTCAAACAAGACATGCATTTCAAAACTTCTTTGAAATGCATTTCTCTTGATCATGGAAGTGTAAAAAAAAAAAAAAAAAAAAAAAGAAAAGAAGGAAGGAAGGAAGACACCTCTCAAGTAAAATTATTCAATCTCAAGCTGATTAATTAATTTTATTAAAATTATATTACAAAAAAGAATAAGAGAAGGGAAAAAAAAAAATTGTTTCAATTTGTGTTCACAATTTATATAAAAACAAAGAAAATCAATTGGAAATTTTCATTGCCTTTAAAAGCGCTAGTAAAATTAATAGACTTTAATGAAATTTTGGGCATTTATTCATTACACTACTGGAGGTTGGTTAGTTGATTTTATTTGGCAGAATATCAACCTTCATTATTTAATGCTGAAATCTAAATATCCCGCATGGAGTTTTATGCTTTCAACTACAGATACTTAGTACATAATTTTATACTCCCACAGTAAAGGTATGGGTTTTTTTGAAGATATATATAGTTTGTAGATCATAAAATGTATTGTTGGTAATTTTACTATAAAAATCTATTTTCATATTTTTTTTTTTTTAGTGTTGCATTGATTGTCATCTTACTATAAAAATGCCTCATTGCTCATTTTATTCTAAAAATATACTGTTGATTTTTGCTTGGGTGTTCACTATTTGCTCATAGCTGGGACCCTAACAGATGCTACCACTCCAGTTCAGGGTGGATCTGAGAGAAACAGCAGTTAAGAGGCAGTTCCATGCTCCTTAAAACCTCCAATCTTCCGATCAGTGGCTTTGCTGCCAGATGTAGTTTATCATCATACCCAGGATACCATTACTGAATGAAACATAACAAAAGACCTGATCACAATCATAAGACAAGCAATCATAACATAACTTGATTTATTACCAAAGAAATTGTAATTTTAATTAAATAAAAAAAAAATTAAATAAAAAAAAATTAAAAAAAAAAAAAAAAAAAAATGAAATATCCCAAAGTCAAATCATAAGTCAGTGACATTTTTTATTCTAATTCACAGCCGTCCTGGGTATGACAAACTACATACGTATCCTGGGTCTCAGCTATAGGCAAAAAGTTAACCCCAAACTGGGGTCAAAACACTATGAAAGTGTAAATACCAGAAATACTTTGTAAAAAAATTATTACCAATGGTACATATTTAAAGGAAAAAATCTTACCAGAAATAGATTTTTGAAAAAAATAAAAAATTACTAACAATAAAAATTCTGTCGGTATTAAATAACCCATTGGCCATTTACGTATGAGAAGGAGACACCAACAGAAAATTAGTAGGACTTGTATCAGTATATCATTATTATCTATAAAAAAAAAAAGAAAATTTTTACAATCTAAAAATATTTTCCGGCTTTAAATAACCTTCAAAGGGCTGATAAACTGTAAGAAACAAAATCAATCAAACTAAAAGACAGAGGAACTTATACAGTTATTTTCTTGAAGAGTGAATGACAAGATACATGGTTTGGTTTGGTTTGGTTTGGCTCGTTTTGTTTTATGGCATATCAACTTCAATGGGTCATTTAATGCCGACAACTTTTGTTTTATTTTTTTCCTGGTAATATTTTTGTTTTGTCAAAAATTTATTTCTGCTAATATTTTTTTCCTCAAAATCGTATAGCTGGTAATATTATTTTTTTCAAAAATGTATATAGCTGGTAATATTATTTTTTCAAAAATGTATATAGCTGGTAATATTATTTTTTCAAAAATGTATATAGCTGGTAATATTTTTTCAAATAATGTATATAGCTGGTAATATTATTTTTTCAAATAATGTATATAGCTGGTAATATTATTTTTTCAAATAATGTATATAGCTGGTAATATTATTTTTTCAAATAATGTATATAGCTGGTAATATTATTTTTTCAAAAAATGTATATAGCTGGTAATATTATTTTTCAAAAAATGTATATAGTTGGTAATATTATTTTTCAAAAATGTATATAGCTGGTAATTTTTTCAAATAATGTATATAGCTGGTAATATTATTTTTTCAAATAATGTATATAGCTGGTAAAAAATAATGTATATAGTTGGTAATATTATTTTTCAAATAATGTAAAGCTGTATATTATTTTTTCAAAAAATGTATATGGTAATATTATTTTTCAAAAAATGTATATAGCTGGTAATATTATTTTTTCAAAAATGTATATAGCTGGTAATATTATTTTTTCAAATAATGTATATAGCTGGTAATATTTTTTCAAAAATGTATTATCAGAAGCCTTGCTGTGAGACGTAGTTTATCATCTTGGCCAGGATGCGGATGTAGTTTGGGTGTTAACTATTTGCCCATAACTGGGACCCTAACAGGTGCTACCACCCCGGGTCAGGGTGGACGTGGGAACACCAGCAATTAAGAGGCGGTTCCACACTCCTCAAAACCTCCTAATCAGAGGCCTTGCTGCTGGACATAGTTTATCGTCTTACCCAGGACATGGATGCAGTTTATCGTCTTACCCAGGACATGGATGCAGTATATCGTCTTACCCAGGACATGGATGCAGTATATCGTCTTACCCAGGACGGGACAAGATACATGGGTTTAAGTATGAACAAGGAAATACTTACATAAACAAGGAACTTCAATTTACTTTTCAGGTTTTTGTATTTGCGCTTATAATCCACCTGGTAGTCAATGGCATTTTCTGGAAGTGAAAACAGAAAAGCAGAAGGAAGTAAAAGAGAAATTGAAACAATTCCTGAAATGTTGTTTATAAAACAAATTTTTAAGAGAATCCCATCTGTGTTGTGTTGTGTTGTAATCTTTGTAAAAAAATTTTTTTCAGTGGAGATGTGTTGACAATTGATTGATCTTTATGGAAATGTAAAAATTTGCAACTTAAACATTTTTTTTTCTAGTAAAATTTAGTGATGAATATATTGGCAGTTATTACAAAAAGAATAACATTTCCTCAGATTTTTTTAAATAAAAAAAAAAAAAAAAAATATTCATTATAAAAGTAAATATTATGTACTGAAATTTTCATTTAAATTGAATAAGTTCCTGATTTTTGGTTTAAAAAAAAAAAAAATAAAAAAAAATAAACGCCCTTCCCACCAATTTTCTTATTTTCGGCGAGGGTTGGGAATTTTTCGAAATCAACGGGGTGAGGGGAGTGCATGCAATCAAAAAAAACTTTAATCATACCAAAAAATTAAAAAACCAACCAGAAATACCCCACCCCCGGATTTTATCATTAATAATTGTTATTAGCATAATAAAAACACTATTAAAATGTTTAGGGAATAAATTAAAGAAAGAGAAAAATATTGTTTTTAAAAGTGAAAAAAAAAAAAAAAAAATATTTTTATGGCAATTTTTATAAAAGTCACAACTTTATTTTTATTTAAACATTTTGGTTAAATCACCTTGACTAATTTAACAGAGAAATATTCTTATTAATTATCAAGTTTAAAGTAAAGTTTATAATACTTTAAGAATTGTGGTCTGTGCAATCATTTTCTATATAAGAATATTCACGCATTCAAATTGTTTTTTTTTTTTAATCAATTCACTTCAAGCAAGATGATAATGCCACTAGGAGGCAACAGCTACTGGAAGCAAAAGAGAATGAAAGAAACTTTAGAAAGAACCAGAAACCCAATCCTAAACAGGCACCAAAGGATGACGAAGGAGGAGGAAAAACTTGTCTATACCTATTGAGAAAAAAAAAATAACTTTGTAAATAAAATTTCAGAGGATAGTTGGAAATATTAGACATATAGAGTTGACATAGACTTTAGAAGGAACCAGAAACCAAGGGATACACCTCTACTCCGGTTCAAAAGATTGCTTTAAAGTTTTTAATGTCTTCATAAAAAATTCCAACTTTATTTTTATTTAAACATTTCAGTTAAATCACCTTGTATCATTTTTTTTAACATAGAAATGTCATTATTAATTTCTCATGATCAGAGTAACTTTTTTCTGACTAAACAAAACCGTGCTGCATGCATTCATTTTCTATAAAGAATATTAGCGCATTTCAACTATTAACAGTCAAAACAGTTTTTAGTCTTTATAAAAATAAAAAAAAAAAATCTAATTTACAATTGCTTGCTTCATATCAAAACAAAATTTTGTGTATACTTAAATTATCCTATTTTTCAATTTATCTTCTGATAAGCAGAAAATATAACATGAATGTTGTTACTGGTTCATTCAAATTTTAAATCAAAAATTGACAGAAAAAAATAATATTCTTGCTTTGTTAAATTAAAATTAGTTCTTAAAATTAGATCCTAATGTGTTTTGCATTTTAGAGATAAATAATAGAAAAATATAAATTTAAATCCTTCAACTTTCATAATCTATAATTAGTTCTTTCTATCAGATCCTAATGTTTATCCCATTTAGAGATAAATAATAGAAATATCTACATTTAAGTCCTTCAACCTTCATTTGGGTTTATGATATATAATTTTCTTGCTTTGTTTATTAAAGGCAAATTAATTCTTCCAATCAAATCCTAATGTGTTTTGCACTTTAAAGATAAATAATAGAAATATCTATATTCAACTTTCATTTAGGTTTCAGTCAGCAGCTTAAAAGGAAGCACTTCAGAGAGAGAGAGAGAGAGAGAGAGAGAGAGAGAGTGAGTGTGTGTAAGGGGGTTCCTTTTTCTTAAAAGACCACCTGCACTGATGAGAAGTAAGAATTCTTTTTTCTTTCAAGAAATTAGTTTCTTTTAGAATAATATTGTTCCAAAAAACTTAACCTGTCATCCTATAACACTATCAGTCCCAGACATGATTTGTTTTCCTTGTGAGCATACAATGGGCCCTTTCCCAGCTTTATAACAATGCAAATTAGAATCAAGAGAATCTAGAATGATTTGGTAAAAGAGAAGGCCCCATTGTATGTCTACAGTGTCAAACTAATGTTCTATTGTTCCCAGGACAACATTAAACCCAGGCTCTGCATTTATTATGAGAACTTATCTCTAGATAGATACTGATTCATTCAAATGGTGACATCATATTTTAGAATGATGAATCCTGACCAAAAGGAACAAGCATTTCCCCTTCCATGCATACCACAACAGGTGTTTTTCCTTACAAATTCTTGAAACTGTCCTCCCCACATACCATATACATTTTTTCACATGGAGTTTCTTTATACTTGACCCACATTTTGAACTTGAAAAATTAGACAATTTCACCAGAACACTTATTTTTGAGGCCAACTCACAAAGAAAGGCCAACTCACAAAGAAAGGCCAACTCACAAAGAAAGCCAAACTCACAAAGAAAGGCACAAAAGAAAGGCCAACTCACACAAAGAAAGGCCAACTCACAAAGAAAGGCCAACTCACAAAGAAAGGCCAACACAAAGAAAGGCCAACTCACAAAGAAAGGCCAACCACAAAGAAAGGCCAACTCACAAAGAAAGGCCAACTCACAAAGAAAGGCCAACTCACAAAGAAACAAAGGCCAACCCACAAAGAAAGGCCAACTCACAAAGAAAGGCCAACTCACAACTCACAAAGAAAGGGCAAAGAAAGGCCAACTCACAAAGAAAGGCCAACTCACAAAGAAAGGCCAACTCACAAAGAAAGGCCAACTCACAAAGAAAGGCCAACTCACAAAGAAAGGCCAACTCACAAAGAAAGGCCAACTCACAAAGAAAGGCCAACTCACAAAGAAAGGCCAACTCACAAAGAAAGGCCAACTCCCTCTTGGTCTTTTCATCTTAAATCTCCCAATGGGAAAATTCACAGGTGTACTGTGATCAAATTTATGGATAAATACCAAATATTAGAGCTTTATCTTTAATAGTTTTATAAATAAGAACATCTTGAAATTTCATTGCAGTTTTTGTATCTTGCTAAATAAGTTTTTCAACAAACTCTTGACATTTATAACTCCACAAAGATGTTGCGTGTAAAGGTTTGAAACATGGTTAATGCTTACTGTAGATTACAAAAATATAAACAGCTCACATACTTTTATTTTTATAAGGACCTGAATGTTGTGGAAATGCCATAATGCAAAAAGACAATGTCCTTTTTGGGGGGTTAACATTTACAAAGTACATCAAATACAGCATCCAAATTAGTTTTTCCTGACATTTATGATCTAATAGATTATTTCTATGTAGTAATTATATTCACTCCTGTTATAAAAATAGAATTTGATTTTTTAACATCCTTAAGATTTCCAATTTTCATAATGTCAATAGACCAGTTCGGCAGCTTAAGAAAATTTTTATATTTTTACCACATATTCTTACAAGTCTGAAGATTCATATGACAAAAGTTTTGTTTTATAGACAAACTTCTATCTAGGGTTAAAACATATTTTTCTCAAACCTTTTATACTGAAATCATGCTTTTGTCAAATCTGACACCTGATAAATTAGATACTTAAGAATATAAAAAAAATATTATACTATAGTTTTCTGGATGGTTTACATTTTTTTTAATTGAAAAAAAAAAAAAAAAAAAAAAAAAAGAAAGATCATAGCATGATAAAAAAGGTCCTAAACCTGATAAAAACAAAGTTTTATAGTTAGTAAAGTATCTTTTGATTATTTTATTAAATTTTTTAATCCTTTCTAGCATGTTCAAAATTTTGGTTTAAAATCTTGCTTTTCTTGTATCAGTGATGGGTTAGAAATTACTATAGGAAATTTAGCATCTTTTTGCAGTAAAAACACATTTGGGAAATTCTTGGAAAAATCATAACTGTCGGATTTTATTTAAATTTTCAGGATTTATTCACAAATTAAATTATTTCTTAAATTTTTTTTTACATCTGTTACCCACACTTACTAAATTTTCTAAAATTTTGATAAATCCAAATTTCAGAATATTCATATTAGTTAAAAGCAAGACTCAGAGAATTTAAGTCATCAATTTGATTTTGCCAAACAGAAATACTGTTTACCAAAAATCTGCTCTGAATTGTAAATTAAAAAAAATGTAATAAACATATGACATTAATTAGAAAAGCTTTTAATTGCTTTTATAAATGAGATATATTAAGGACACTATTGTCTTAAATAAAAATTTTTTTTTGATAAAGAATGAATTTTTACAAGAATCTTTTTTTTTTCAAATTTTTAATTAAAAAACATTTATTATGTTTTAAATTTTTTTTTAATTCTGTATTAATTACAGTGGTTGTGATGATATTATTAAATTAAGTGAAAACTATATTTACTACTCATAAATGGAAAAGCTTAACACAAATCATCAAACACCAATAGTTATAAAAATAATTTGAATTTTTTTTTATTAGTGTACTGTGTTTTGTAAGTACAGGCGACCATACACAACATTATCAGAAAATAAGAGTGACGATTATAGTAAATTTATAGCCCAAATTTTTAAAATTCAATTACAGAGAATTTAATTACTTAAAATTTAAATAAAATTATGTAAAATAAAAAAGGGACTGATGTCATTTGCTTCAATTAGGTCTTGCAGACAAAGTCTCCACAGAACAACATTAGGCCTGTCATCACTTTGTCAAACATGACAACACAGCTAGTGTCGAGTTAAAAAAAAAAAAAAAAAAAAAATGCATTTCTGTGATATTTTAAACTTAAAGTAAATGATATTTGTTTCAAATCAGCTAATATTCCTCAAATAAAGTCCAGAAAAGTATATTTTATTTTTGGAAAATTTTGTTTAAAGAGAATTATATTGTGATGAAATATGACTAAAAAGTTCTAATCAGGTATTTTAGCAAAAGAATTAAAAAAAAAAAAAAAAAAACTCCTAATCAATTTAAATTAGTTTTTGAAATACAGCAAATTAGCTTGGAAATATTAAATTTAATCTATTAGCTTGAAATTAAAACTAAAAAGCTTTAAAAAAGATTTTTCATTTTTAAAAATTCATTTTAAACCATAGGTATCTTTATTTTTGTTTCTTTGTGGAGTTACCTACATTGAAATAAGGATTCCACTAGATTATTTTAATTTTAAATACATCAAATCAAAATAATGAAAATGTATCACAGTTTGTCCATGTTAAGTAATTTTATTAAAACTCTAAAACAGCACTCCTTATACTTTTTTTCATTCATGACTCCATTTTTCATTAGATTTTTTGCAACCCCAGGTATTAACCAATTACACTGAAAATACATTGTCACTGCACTAGTCGCAACCACAATGCTTGCATGGCACATCACCCTAAATATTGTGCATTTGTGAAATAACATAGAAACTGAAATTCAAGTGTTTGAATTTAATTTTTGTGACCCCATTTTGGGTTGCAACCCATTGTTTAAAAAATGCTGCTCTAAAATATACTTAAATCAGTAAGGCAAAAGAAAAAAAATCATATCAAGACTATTTTTAAAGTAAATAAATATTTAGGTTTAGTGATAATAGTCAATATTTTCAATTATAAATCAGCATTTTAACTAGCCATTAGTGGATTTGAGATACAACCTATTCGTTCTGTTTTAATCAATTTAAAATAGTAAGATACCAGCAAATTCCACGACTAAGGCTTCTTTGGCGTGGGGTAGGATCATGTCCACATGGGGTACTTCTGTTGTTGTTGGTTTAGAAGCAGTTGCATTTGCAAATCTGCGAGTGCATTGTTGATATGCACATGTTTAGCACTGCATGTGTTTTCTTGTTTGGAAGTCAGTGTATTAAGTCTTTGATTGAATGACACAAAAATTTTGTCAACAATATCTGCCAATTTTTCCAGTGCTGTATCTGTCATGGGCATTAGTATTTGTACCATAGTGGTTGGCAATTTGTCCAAACATAGACAATGCAAGATGGACTCAGACATATCATTCCCTCTGAGGTAACTTTTCATGCGCCTGAGGAGTTGCGAGGGTGTTCTGTCACTGATACTTATGTTGTTAAATAGTTCCATCAACATTTGTTCATCTGAACAACCTGTCCTTTTAATGATGGCTGCTTTAAGAACATTGTAAGGGTTAGTGTCAGGAACATCTTCTAATAGGTCGGCAACTTCATCGACAATGTCAGGAGGCAAGGCTTAGACAACACTGGCAAATTTTATTTTCTGCGATCGTATCCCTCTGGCAGCGAAAATGGCCTGGAGTTGGAGGAACCAATTCTTGGTGTTGGTGGCATTGTGTGGTGGTAGGCGGAGAACTGAGGTATTAATCTCCAAAGGTGGTTCCAAAGTATCTTTGTGTGAACTCATTATGTTGCTGCAGTTTCCACATATTTCCTGAAGAAGTTGCTATCGCTCGAAACATCAGGCTTACCACTTTTTGTGGAAACAAAGAATGGGTAACCTGGAAGGCAGAACTTGTTGCTGTTGTTGTTGTTGTTACAGCTGAAGAGGTTAATTTCTTCTTTGTCTCAGCAAACGTAAATTAGAGGAAAAGGAATACATTGTATTTTGGGTAAATAAATGAAAAATTTATTTACAAATAATGTATAATTTATTTACAGATATACAAAGCCATCATACTATCCATTGCTGTTGTAAAAGGCAAACAGAGTGGGAGAGGAAGAAAGAATGTTGGTGGCTGTCGGCTGATGTCTTGTGAAAACAGCAGCATTGAAGGATGAAAGTTGAAAGTAATAGTATCATGTTCAGTGTGCCTGCTGCATTCTTGACCAGCCTCTGCATGTTGACATCTCAGTCGGGTCTCTCTCTCTCCATTCTGCAGCATTGAATCAGGGAATTTATATCCGTCGTATCAGCTCCAAATCACAGTCTGGGTCTTTTAGCAGGAGTTATTTCTACTGGCCAATATATAAAGTTCATTTTATTTCGTTCAATACTGAAAACATGCATTGAGCCATGATGTGCAGGGATACATTTTCGCATTCTGCCTTGGGTTGTCGAGTAGCCAGCATTGGTTTAGTGTAAGAAGCACGACAAAATGTACATGCTTCATTCAAAAATGATTTGATAAAATCTACCATTTTGGAGTTATCGACAGTAAAAGTTCAGATTCGTTCACGTTGTTGACAGCAGCCATTACTGGCGTTGTTTGCATACATTTCCTGTGGAAAGCTAAGCACAGAAGAATGTAGTTAACAGCTTTTTTTTTTTTACTGATCTTACTTGTCTCAACTTACTACAATTACTGCACAAGAGAACTATATTGCATGCGCAATAATCAAGACAAGTGAATATTCCACAGCAAATGGAAGCAAACAACGCCAGTAATGGCTGCCACAATGCAAATGAATCCAAACTTTTACTGTCACTAAGTCCAAAACGGTAGATTTTATAAAATTTATCAAGTTATTTTCGAATGAAGCATGTACATTTACACCTAAATGTAAGTATTCGGGAAATTTTTATTGCTAACCGAGCACGGGTCCTAATCTGCAAATTAACCATTAATTTCTAATAGGGAATGAAATTATATATTTTTGTTTTGTCACTATCAAAGTTTATGACCGTTAATGAAAAAACTTTTTTTTTTTTTTTTTTTTTTTTTTTTTACACGAATTCATAGCCCTTTTAAAATTTAAAAAACCGAAGAAGAATAATTAAAAAATAATCAAAATATTCTTAACTTGAAAAATTAAATAAAAAAAAACAAAAAAAAACCCAAAACAATAAGAATTTGGTGTGAGGGTAATGTTTTTTTATTTTTTTAGAAAGTGGTAGAAATCTTAACCTGGGAAGAGAAGCAGTGGATTCATTCTTTTTTTTTTTTTTCAAATGAATTTGAACGAACCCAACGGGAACTGGAACTTTGGCTCTCCGATTAAACATCCCGAGCCATTATCTATACACCACCCGCACACCCAAGCTTCACCAGTTATTCCCAAGCGGTCGCCCTACTGACCAAGGTCGATATTGCTTAACTTCGTACGAGAACCGGTGTTTCAACGCGATGTGGCCGTAAGCAGCCAACACAGCTCATTTTATTGGCATTATTATTAATTTTTATTCTTTAAAATGACCAACAAAAAAAAATAGGCTTTCTTTTCGGTCTGAATTTCTGGGATGGGGAGTTATTTATTCGGACAAAGACAAGGACAACAATCTGAATATGAATAGATAGAGAGAGAGAGAGTGTAAATAAAAAATATAAGCATTTTAAAACGAAAGCTAAAAACAGATGGAGAATGAATACGGAAATATAAAATATAGCATAATCCCACGCAGATATAAAAAAAAAAAAAAAAGATTACAATATTAATTTAACATAATTTATCCCCAAATCTCAGACCAGTGTCATTTGATTTTAAGAAAAAGTGGAGGGATGTTTTTTTTTTTTTAGTTTTTTACGACCCATACTTTGTGTATGTTTTTAAAATAATTAACTTAAAATATCAATTTAAATTATTTGAATAAATGAAATTGGTACATAATAATGGAATGAGTACTTTTGTTTAAAATCATTTGTACTTTAATTAAGATAGTTTAATAATTTTGTTTTAAAAAATTGGGATGTACAATTTAGAGGTGCCTTTTTAACTACTTTCACATTCCATACATTCTAATAATATTCATTGCAGTTTTTTTTTTTGTTTTGTTTTTTTTCATATAAAATACGTAATTAATAAAACCGATTAAAAATTGAATCAATGCTTAATTAATTTTTAAAGCAACGTATCAATTATTTTCTTCAAAATTAAGATAATTTATATATTTCCTTAAACTTGTTTTGTTTTGTTTTTTTACCCCTTTTGTGTTTGAATACATAAAATTAATTTATTTTTACTCACCTGTATTTGTTACTGGTCCTCCACCTGAGGCTGAGACGGGCATCATTATTATTTGAAGAGACTATTCTTTTTGTTTTTTTTTTCTTTTTATATATACATATATTTAATTCAATTTCACAAATTGTATATCAAAACAAACTCCACGTTAAGAAATGACTTATAATTGCCTTTTTTCTCACGCGGTTGTGTAAAACGTCATCAAAATGTGCAAACTATTTGTCTTCCGGTTCAGGCTGTCATTTTCGGAAACGGAAGTAGCAATTTTTCCCTGCTACGTCATCAATCTTTGTCATCCTTTTCTATAGCCACGGAATTGGTGAGTGTGTTGCAATTTTTCATCTCTTACTTAAATCGGCTTTAATCTTAGTTTTTCTCTACAGTTTTTATCATCGACTGTAAATAAGGTATTTTTCATGGTTTGTTTAATCCCAATTACTTATTTTTGTTTGTTTATTTCGCGTGAAAAGTCATCTTTTATAGCCGCATTTTTTTCATAATGTTAAATTTTGTGCCCGGTTTTCCATCATGGCGATGTATTTTTAGCTATCAACTCGAAGCCGATAATTTAATTTTTCAGTTTTATTTATAGTAATGGTGCAAAATTAAATAAATAATAGCATGTCTTAATTAAATGCCCACGTGAATGAATGTCGGTAATAACAAATCGAATTTATATGTTGAAATAAGTAACAATTTGTCTTTATATAAATTCGATCTTCCTATCGTGCATCCACATGGTCGTCACCTTGCTTTTACTGTAAATATGTTGAAGAAAAAGCTTAAAAGAAAGACTTAAAAGAGGAAGAACATCTCATTTATTATTTTATATTTATTATGGCTTTGTTTCCTATCTTGCAACATTTCTTATGATAATTCGCTACGAGAAAATAATAGGTACTTTTTTTTTTTTTAATTTTTATTATTTTAAAAACTTTTTATGGTTGTATTTCGGTCTTTGAAATAATATCTTCTCTACTGGTGTGTGTATGTGTTATATATATATATATATATATAATTGCTAGGTATACTTTTTTTCTTTAGTCTATAAAAATAAATTTAAAATGAACTTTTGCATTTGTCTTCTCAAATATACCTCCCTTTTTTTTTTTTTTTTTTTTTTTAAATTGAAAGACAGATTAAGTGATAATCTATTTTTTGGCCTCTTATTTTTAAATTAGGTTCTTTGGTTCAATTCTTAAATTCTTAATGTTAGATTTGCTTAACACGTGTTCACCCCACAGGATTGTTTCCCTCCCTTATAAAAAGTAAACTCACACCAAATGTTATTTTTTTACCAGAACTTTTTAATTAATGAACATTTTTATTCCTAATTACTTAGTTTTTTTTTGTTTTTGTTAAAAAATTTTTCCTAAAAAAAAAAAGTGTGCAAACCAAAAAATGAAAAAAATAAGTATCCATGTTATTAATTGTTTTTTCTTTTTTTTACCCGAAGTACTAATTTAAAAATTTTTTTACTTTTACGACCGGAATAAAAACGACTGTTATGGTTTTTTATTATTGCAATCCTAAAGGATAAATTTGCAACTGGCGAGAATCGAACTTTTAATCGTCCATAAATGAGGCACCTAGTGAGAGTCAAAATCACAACTAATTGTTTTTCAGTATTTCTAATGAAACCAATTGCTTTTTTATTTTCTATATCATGCATACATCCAAAAATTAAGTGTCCGGAAGTCAAGATAATGTATTTTTAAGACTTTTCTTTCCCTCGTAAGAAAAACTGATAAATATTATATCAGTATTGCTATGTATTTAAATTTGAGTTAATCATTTGCGACTAGTGAATTCAGAGCTGGAACATTTATAAAGCACATATTATTTTTTACACACACACACACTACACTTTATTTGGATCTACAAAGTTTTGTAGCCTAGAATATGAAGCTGGATTTAAAATGAAGAAAGGTAATCTAGTATTTGGTACACAAAAAAAAATATTATGCCCTTGTTTACTATCCTCTTGTAAACATTCTTAAATAATTTAAGATTTGCATCTCATGTAGCAAGATGATATGAATAAACTCTTCTTGAAGAGTGTTAATGCCCCCATCTGTAAACTGTCTTACACAAAAAAATAAAAGCTATGATGAGATTCATTTAAGATTCAGGCAGCATAATTTTACTCTGCTTCTTTCATATTTGTCACCAAATCCCCACACAACTGCCTTTTATGGTTTTTGATTGGTTAGGATTTATCTTTCATTGTGGTGTAAAATAATTAGGCTTTACTAATATTGAATACTTAAAAGAACAGGAGCTGCTGGTGGGATAGTTATTCAACCAGACAAAATAGAGGATGTTGAAATTTCAATCGCAGTTGACATGTCTTCAATCTTTTTTTGTGATTTCTAATAATAAAAAAAGGTATATCTTGTAATATTATAAATGTTTGGGGAGTGGAGATCTGTCTTTTATGCCATCAGATACATTAATGTTTTGATCTTTCAATGTTGGTTGCACAATGATGAATACTTTTGATCTGTCAATCCACTGAAATATATCTGTTGACACTATCTTTCCTTACTGAGTTGTTTGCCAGCATTGTACTACATTTTGCTTGGGTGAGTCACTGATTTGTAAGGGTATTAAAGGGGGGGGTATTTTGAGGTTTTGCAGGAAAGATCACAATTGGTCTTAGACTTGAAGAGGTTAAGATTATAGTTATTGTGGAAGTATCTTTTCAGGAGTCTGTTTAACAATGTAATGGTTTTAGTAAGCTGAATGAAACTTCCTCCTTACTAATGGAATATGAAATGATAAATTGGCTCTTGTGTATGGCATGGTGGATCTTAGCTGTGAAGTCTAAGCTGGTGGGACTAAGAGGTGTAGCTCATCTTGAACCCCTGCCATAAAAATAGAGTAACAACGATTCCTCTGGGGGTGGGTCTGTATAGAGTTGAAAATGCCACTGCCCACAAATTCACATAAACACTTTTGAACTCTGTCAAAGTTAGAAAGTGAATATTGGTGCATGTGTGGCAGCAATGCTTTGTTTTTCATCTGACCTGACTTTGTACAGATTGAACACAAACAACTGGCAACTTTAGAAATGTATCATATATAATTTCCATTTGGGACCCAGAGTCCCCACTAGACAATCAATGCAAGGAGGCTCATTAAGAGTACAGCTGTATATTATGGCCGGACAGAGTTAAGGGTCTTCTCAGCTAATTTTAATGTTGGCTACACAATGATGAATATTTTGATCTGTCAATCCACTGAAATATGTGTTGACACTATCTTTCCTTACTGAGTTGTTTGCTGACATTGTATTACCATCTGCTTCATTGAATCAGGTGCTAATTTGTAAGTGGACACAATCATTAACTTGTTTAATACAATCGAATGTAAGGGTGTGTTTTTACAATACTAGGTTGAACCCTTAACCCCCTGATGAGTGTATCACGTACTCTAAGCCCCTGCTGGTCAGTAGACCAGCCACTCCTGTTATGGTTCAAAACTGCTGCTTATACTTGCTTTTTCTTTTTTTTTCTTTTTCTTTTTTTTAAATAACAAGTTCTTGTGGTTGTGAGACGCCAAAATGGTGGCCGTAAACAAAGCAGAGAAAGCTGATAAAAAGGCTGATGATAAAGTACCAAAAGATAAGAAAGTGAAGAAGACTGAAAAGGCAAAGAAAGGCGGCAAAGGAAAGGATGCCAAAAAGACTAAAAAGAAGGTCAAACGCCATCATCGCAATCCCATTTTGTCTGCAAAAATTGGCCTGAGGCGCTATTCCAAGTCTCGAGTTTATCAACGGAGGAGTATCTTCAAGTTGAAGGAGAAATCTCCAACCCCTAAAGCAGAGAAGGTGAAGAAACCGAAATTCATCACCAAGACCATTGGAGGAGAGAAAAATGGTGAAACCAGAAAAGTTAGAGTTTGCCGACTGGTAAGTGCTTTCAAATATACGTGTGTACTTTTTTTAACAGATTAAAGCAGCTTTGTCAGTCTTTTATCACATCCGCTTTCAATAACTGTTAAATCTAACATTTCACAAATGTCTCTCTGTAGGTAGTGTAGTAGTTATTGGCATGGAAAATTGAATCAAATTCCAACCAAATGTGAGTTTGGTGTCATAGCATTTGAGAGCTCAATCCCTGGGTTGGGCAGTATGTACTTGCACTTGGTAGTAACTGGTGAGCAATAATTTAGCATGGCTAAATAAAAATAAGAATGAGACCAAATCCCTAGATATGTGCAGTGGAATGAGAACAATTCCCCACCATAGATTAAATAAAGGATTCAGTTCAGTTGTTTACTCAGACTGATTTACACCTGAGGAAGACCAAAGAGCACAACAGCAGATAAGGATAAATCAATGTCATGGGCTAGCCTGGCAGGATAGGGCACTCACTCTTCATATCTGGTAGAATTTGTGAAAATCTTAAGTCCTACATTGAACAGGGGAAGGGTAACTGATAATAAATAACAAAACGCACTCACAGAAGTAAAACCACATCGGAAGAAGGGATATATAAAGTTGAATGTCAGCGATGCTGAAAGAATTATATAGGAAAAATTTCCAGAACCCTAAAAACACGCCACTATGAATACAGAAGCTGTCACTTTAGGGTATTGCACTAAACTCTTTAGTAACATAGAAATAAAACAACTGATGATTTTTTTTTTTTTTTTTAATGTCAGCCCAATATAATAAATTCACATCACTGTCACACGTCTTCAACTTTACCCCTAGAGGCCGTAACCCAACATATAACATTTTGGTATCAGGCTGACTACATGAGCTAATTAAAAACATTCTGGGTCCAGGACCACAATCCTGGAATTTTGGGTTCCCAAGTTTTCATTACCGTAATTGCTATCAGTGTTTTTTTCTCTCCATATATATATATATATATATATATATATATATATATATATATATATATAGGAAGCAAGGATCTGCATACATTAAAAAGTTAAATGATGGCAGAAAAATTATTGTTCAACTTTTAGAAGGAATTTTAATTATCCTGCATTGGTAAAGTGCCAGTCAAACTTTTCCATATCAACAACCTTCCTGAAGGCCTTGCTTAAAGAATGTAAGGTTCAGACACTTGCCAATGTAACCCAAGTGTTTTTTTTTTTTTTTTTTTTTTTTTTTTTGTGCATTCACTTCCATAGCTTTGTCGTGCCTGTCACACAACCAGAAAACGTGCTAAGACGCATCAAATATATCTGAGTACACTTAAGCATTACATATCACAGAATTGAGCCAAGTACAATTTTCCCAAAAGATTTCTGATTGTGGTAGGTTTATTTTTCTATTCAAGTAGACAGTCACATTATTTATGAAACATTATGCGTTGTGTTTTCTTTGCTAAGTATTCTTGGGTGTACATACCAGTAGGCATGATGCACGCTATATAAGCTGGGGCAGAGGTTATGTTTGCAGGGGTCTGGCTTTCTCTTACTAAGGGATGATCACCAATTAAGTTTTCCAATCTGTTGTACTGAAAGCTCACTACCCAGTGCAACAAGTGTGGGTAAGTTTCTCTTGCACCTCTCACCTTGATCTTTGGTTAATGGTCCATGCATCGGAAGTTATTTTTGGCAGGTAACTTAGATTTTGATGTACAGGTACCAAAATTTGCTCTCTTAAAACTTTTGTGAATATGATTCTTTAATTTGTGCAAGAAACAATTATTATTGGATTAGTGTTTCCAAGTGGTAAATTTTTTTCTTATTCTTTTTTTTTTCTAGCCCCGTCACCTCCCTACTCAGGTGGCAAGACGCAAGTTGATGAATAACAAGAAGCCCTTCAGCCAGCACAAGCGCAATTTGCGCCCTTCCATTCGGCCCGGAACAGTTCTCATCCTCCTTGCAGGAAGACATCGAGGAAAGGTAAGGGTTTCTGCCGAAAGTTAAATAACTATTCAATCCAATACATAGACACCCCATAGTTTTCTATTGATTATAATGGTGGGGGAATAGCAAGGATGTGTGAGTGTGGCAATTTTGTGTTGCATGTGGGCGGGTGGGTGGTCTCGGCCTCTCTCTCTCTCGTTGCAAATTATAGAGAGATTCAGCTTGCAAAGACACACCTTATATTATTCAGATAGCTATACCACTTGCAATGTCTCATGCAGATGGAACTGGGGTTTTTTGTGGCTAATGCCCTAATAGGCCAGATATTGATGTTTTGGGATATAATAACTCCAGAAGATAGATTTTTGGCGGGTATCACACATGGGAATAATTGGCTGCATTGTTTGCGCAGCTATGTTCAAAATGTCTGGAACCTGAAGAGGAGGTTTTATGTTAGTGAGCAGCAGTTTACCATCAGAGAAACTTCTGATGATGTTGTTCCATGTGAAGAATTCCAACTGCTCATAAAATCGGTGACCAGAACTGGTTTCTCAGCATACAGAGCATAACTTTTATTGATGGTATCATGAAGTAATTTAAAAAAAAAAAAAAAAATTTTTTTAACCTTTTAAAATTATCTGCTTGTTAATTTCCATAATCATGTTGATATGAAATTTGAAAAATCCAGTAAAATTCATAAAACTGCTGCCTTATTGAGTAATATTCAATTTATTCATAAAGAGATATGTTCTGTTCATTAATTAATGCAGATGTCCATGAATTCCTTTAATTTCCTAAGAGCTAGGGAAAATTAAAAGTAACAGAAACACTTTCTCTGCCTGTGTGTGTTATCAAAATTATGCGCTTGTTGTACTCTCTTGCCTCCTTAATTCCTGTTTTATTCTCTCACCTTATTAAATAATGTTTATTTCTTCTCCCATGCTCTACGCTGGGGTGGGGGTGGTTAAAAAAAAAATAATAAAAATCCATAAAAGCACGTTAATTTGCCCGAAAATACAGACCTCATCTGCATGTTTTGCATAACCATTTAATATGTATGTGATTCCTGTCAATCACACATTCTAAGCCTCTTCAAAATGGCTAGCTTAAAGAAACAAGTACCTGAGAAAACGAGAAGTTGATGATTGCTGCAATGGCAGTAGGTATTATTGGTATGGTTGATAACTCAATATTAGTTAAATGGATTATTTAAATCTCGTTCTTCAAATGGCCAGTGACTCTGCTTCATTTGACCCCCACCTTCCATTGTTTGAACTGTAAATATAATATTCGGTTTTAGTTTATAAATAAGTGCTGCATATGTCCAGGTGTTGATCTAAGGCAGTCTTTGTACTTGCAAATCACTTCCATTGAACAAACTAAAAGCAATGCCTCCCTAATATCCCTACAATTTTTTTTCCACATTTTAGTGTGACTTTTGATTGCATCAATGGTAGGATAGAATAAAATATAATTAATTGTCAATATTTTAATCAAACTGTATAAATTAAAATCCTAGGTGAATGCTGAAATTTTCTTGACTCAAAGGAGGATTGAGTCGGGTGGTGGGGGGTGGATTTTAGTGCACTCCTTAGTATCATTTAATCCTAAAGTAAAAACTATTTTTTGAAGCCGCATTGTCTACATTTTTATTTAATGTATATAAACTATTTCTGTATTTGAATTTTATCAAAACTGATTTTTCTCTCAATCACATGCTTGCTTTGGTGCTGGTAGATGTAGTGAGGATTTGGCACCAAGAGAACCGAATTTGTGATTGGTCTGATGTTATCAAGGTAATAATTGTTTTCTTTTTTTCCTCAGAGAGTTGTGTTCCTGAAGCAGCTCGGCACTGGCCTTCTGCTTGTGACTGGTCCATTTGTGTTGAACGGCTGTCCCCTCAGACGAGTAAACCAAATCTACACAATTGCCACCAGCACCCGGCTGAAGATAAAAAAGGTTAAGGTCCCTTCCAGAATAAATGATGATTATTTCAGGAGAAAGTCTCTGAAAAACCTCAAGCACAGAGAGGGAGAACTCTTTGACACTGCTAAAGAGGTAACTTTTTTCTTTCTTTTTTTTCTTTTACTGTATAAAGTGGGTTTCATTTATTGTGGAATCTTTAGGCAAACTGTCATCTTTCTAACTCCAAGAAGAGGCAATTTTTATTTCTTCACATTACTATTTTTATTAAATTCTTGTATCTGAATTTGGATTTTATTTGGAATTGGTTTTAGCATGAATTCCTTAACATTTTTTTTTTTTTTTTTTTCCCCATTATTTGGCTTTTAGCAATGAGGAATCAACTTGATCTGTCAATCCCCTGAAATTATGTTGACACTTTTATCAATCTGAGCTATTGCCTTTGTTTAACTTCATACATTGTCTTCATCTTAAAAGCTTTTCTGAAAAGGAGGCAGCCTCTCTCTTGCCAGAGTGGACAATGGCCATATCACATTGGAACACCTGTTCCCATGTGATCATTAAGGCTAAGCAATGCCAATCTTTGTCAGTACCTGGATAAGTGACCACAGTGTAATTTTAGGTGTGCAGGTGGTGTAATAGTGGCTCAGAATTGGCTCAGTCATGTTTATTATATGACACAAATACCTATGGATATCTCTCTTCACAAATTAGTAAAGGCAGGGTTTGTACAAGTCCTGGAAAAAACAGCAATAACCTGAAAGGTCCTTTTATATTTTCTGGAATTTTCTAAATTGGACTGTCCACACATTGTTTTTCTCAATTCATGAAAGGCAGTATGCAAATGCATCTTTGAAAAAATAAGGAGGATGTTATTTTCAATGTTTGTTGACTGATGGTGACCTGTATCTCTAGCTTTTGTTGTAAATGAAAATATTAAAGAGGAAAAAAAATTTTTTTAAAGTTCAATCTGGCAACCTTATGACTCCTTTTCTATTTCTGCCAGAGATGATGAGAAAATGTACAAACATGTGAATGTCTCTTAAACATTTGGCAAGATGTCATCAAATTTGAAATATAAAAGTTCTCAGACCAGGTCCTTCTCTGCGGCGCTGTCAAACCTGAATGACATTTTGCGTCTACTGCAGTTTTTTTATGTCTGTTTCTAAATATCAAAGCAATAAACCATCGCTTCCCTTTCTTGCAGATAATCTTTTTAGCATGATCATGAAACTGTTGAGTAGATTTGTAAAGGATGCATTTGTGGAAGAAAAAAAAACCTGCCACTGGAGACAGTCTAAAAAGATGTCTTTCTCACACGATGGACAGAAAACAAGGCAGCAAATTTGATAGTGATTATATCATCAATTAATACAGAGAGTTTGAGGAGATGGCAGCTACTGGAAATATTACTTTCCAGAATTTCAGCAAGCATTAAGACAACTTGGACACTTTGTTATGCACTCTTTTGTCAAGTAACAAAGAATATTAAAAACTGTAAAGAGATGGGTTTCTCATTCACTGACAATATGAAACAGCGGGCTTTAGTTGCATGGTGCATTATCACAGACTCTTTGGCTGCAGTTGGAGGCGGTGGGAATGTTCCCTCAACTAAAACTCTTCTCTGCAGTGCTTCTAATGTCAGAACAGCATACAAACCATACATTTAGGTAGAGGAGTAGAAATAAAGACAGGATGAAGCAGCTGGACAAAAACAAAAATCCATGCTTATGGAAATTGAAGAACTGAAAACCAAAAACCCAAGTTTGAATGTTGTACACAAGATTTTCTCAAGCCAGCTGGCATCTATGCAGAAAAAGCTGAACTGACTTATCACAAAGTACAATGCCTTGTGAAAATCTGCAAAGGGCAGGCCTATGGCAGTATCGAAATTGAAAGATGAGCTGAATGCTAAACTAGATGAACTGAAATGTTATCGTATTCTATGCCATGAGTTGTGGAGATAGCTTACATGTGTTGTCTTTTTGTGAATATATGTATATATAAGTTTTTCTTTTTGTGTGTGTGTGTGTAACAATTGTGGGGGCAATGTGCAAAATTTTGGTGTACAACATACAGAAGTCATGGCCCCATTCGCATCCGCAAGCAACTACTGTGCTGAGAAGCTACAGAGCAATTACCTTCTTTTCCTCTCTTTCTGCAAAAGAAGTGCTGGAAAGTAAGAATGAAAAAATAGAGCCAGGGAATAGAGGGGAGATAAATGTTGGACAAAACTTGGCTAGGGTTCATATTTTATTTCTGCTTAAATTAAACTTTGCATAGTCACTTTGCTTCAGGGTGTGTTGTCATGAGATTGGCTGGCGATGTTTATATTTTTCGGCAAATTTGACTTGCAAGAACACCCACAGTGTGTCACAAAAGCACATGGACACAATGAGTATAAAATCGGATATCTTTCCTGAGTTGGTTATAAAGTGTATGCTGTTCAATTATTTAAAATTACAAAATTGTACAAAAATTACTTATAATACATTCCTTCTTGCCATCAATTTTGACCGAATGGATACACTAGTTAAAAGATAATTGCAAAACTTGTGCTTTTGAAATTGATGATCATTCACTTTGTGTGTACATGTGCCAGTTTCCATCTTTGAAACTTCTTCACATAGCCCTAGAATTTATTTTTGCACAGGTCTGTGGGAACCCTGTAAGGATTAATTAAGGACTTGTATAAGTAAATCATTATCATCTCCTAAAAACTCCTACGGTTTGAGGATATTTTCTTGCTTTATACGTTTTTCTCAAAGGTCACATACATTTGAGATGTTGCTCATGGATAATCTGCTGTGACATGGTTCTGTCCTTTTTGAACTGGTTTACTGATTAATACTTCCTCATAGAATGAAATATTGATTCTTTGATTGACATTCTGTGGATTCCATGATATTCTTTGAGCTCAATCCTACAATCTCATATTGCTTTTGGGTTTTAATTAAAGAATGTCTTCAAACTAGGTTTTCTATCTTTTCTATGTCCTTAATGTGTTTACCTTGGTATGACCTTATATTTAATATTATTGAGGGATCATTTGCCATTATCATTTGGGGTGTTTCCTGGTCATGGGGGCTTTCCTGTTATAATATAAGTAACCACTTTTATTGCTCTCCAAGTTGTTTTTCATATAAAATTGTTACACAACAATTATGGGGGGATTTATCTCTGTGCTCTCCCAAGCAGTCAAAAGATTGAGTCTAGAATGTGGTGGGAACCCCTGTGTATTTCTGTATTTTTTCTCCTTTTTTAGGGTTGTCTCTAGCTTGCAGCACACTCACTCCACCATAATGAGGGGAGGGGGTGCCTGATGCATGATCTGGGGCTTAATTACATTACATTGAATTAATTGTCATTCCAATAAGTGAAAATAACTATTGAGAAATGTAGCTTTTGTTTTTCTTTTTTTACATAAAACAAAAATGTTTCTTTTTCCAGGAATATACTTTGTCCAATGAGCGCAAAGAAGACCAGGTGACTGTTGATAAACAGATCCTTAAAGTGATCAAGGCTTCAAAGGACAAAAAAGGTTTGAAGGGTTATTTGGAAACTATGTTCTCCCTTAAGAACAAGATGTACCCACACAAAATGATTTTCTAATTTGTTAGTGGCCATTATAAATAAAGCTTGTCAACTGGGTTTTGTTTTTTTTTTTTTTTTTTTTTTTTTTTTTTTTTCTCTTTGACAATGACATTCACTGAACCTGTGAAGACCAGATCTGGATCAAAATAATGAGTGGTTGACTTCGTTTAAGCTTTCTTATGACTACGCTCCAATTAAAAAAAAAAAAAAAATCCAGGTCTCTGAAACATTTTGCCAAAAATCACTTTGTATTCAAATGGATTTTTTTATCTTGTTACCAGATTTTAATTTTAGTTTAACGTTAATCAAATCTTTGCATAATCAGTTAGCGTTGATATCCACAAATTTTCATAGCAGAATCTATATAATGTGCTGTAACTATCAAGCAGACTTAATGGTTAAGATATCTTTTTTATTACGTGTTCTCTAGAATAACACATTTTAGGATAGTGTTTGTATTAGAGGATTATTATTGGGGTTATCTCCCCTTAAGCAAGCATGTATATAATGAACTACAGCTGACCTGTCACTTTATTTGGTGCTTCAAGTCAACCTGCTTTCTGCTGAAGTTGGTTGACTGTCTAAATTAATCTTTAGTGAATTTAATTTTTTTTTTTTTCTTTTTTTTATCAGAACCTGATTCTGGGCTGTATGTAAATGGTTGTTTTTTTTTATATTTACAGCATTCTAAAAGCTAATTGTATTAAGACTAATGCAATGAAATATTTATAAAAAAAAAAATACATATGTAAATAATTTTTATTTATAAACATTTTCTAAATTATTAAAAATATGCAAACCAACTATAAGTCCTTATTTACCATTTCATAAAGTTTGGATTAATTGGAAATTAGCTGTTACTTTGCCAACCATTCCAATATAATAAATACAGGTGTGGGAAAGCAAAGATGAATAACTGCAGTTATGACATGACACTTGATTTAAAGCTTTGTCAATTACACTATTTACATTATTCAGGCTATTGTCATATTCATGATATTTCTGCTATCTTCGCATGATTGGTATTTTGAGTCAAACCCTTTATTTCGTCCCATGGGGGTAGATTATTTTAGTTCCATATGCCATGCCTCTTCCAGATATTTTAGTTACTTCCCTTTAGTAACTCAAATCTGCTGTGGCCAGAATTCCAATCACTTGATGGCTAGAGCGTACAACAATTGAAGAGTAATGTCTATGAGGACAACAGTCCAAACTGTAAATAGGTACAATATCTCGTCTCAGAAATATAGGCAGATATTCATAGTTGTTGTTAGCCTCAAAACTTTGTTTTTGTCCAGTTCTCCCAGATGGTTCCGACTGTGGTTCCAAGTTGTCACTTGATAACTTGGCAAGAATTGAGATGGTAGCTGTAGAGGCCCATGCAAAAACCACAACCCAAGCTTTGAGAGAAAACTTCGCCAAAGACATCTGGCACAAAGTGAAGAAAATAAAGAAACTGATACTTGCCTCTGATATTCATCAAACCTGTAACAGATTATGAAAATTACTTCTTTTTATATATATATATATATATATATATATATATATATTACACACGCACACCGTGTACTTTTGATGAAAAATGAATTCTGTATGATAATTGGAAATATTTTATTTTGCTCATCCTAATACATGACCCCAAAATCAACAACTTTTCACCTATGTAGCTTACGGTCAGTCTATCAAAAATACACCCTCTTCAATTTCCATGATATATTTTGCCTAACATGTACAATGCCTGCTCAAGTTCACCAAAAAAATTTGTGAGGGTTTTATGTCTACTTTAGAAGATATGACCCTGCCAAGTTTAGAGTTTTTTCCTACATATGTGCAGGATTTCCAAGAAAGATTATAATTAAAGACAATCATCCTAATACTCCATGAACTCTAAAATGTTGATATTGTGCTAAGTAACTTCCTAAACTATTCAATAAGATTGTTTTTATTAATTTAAAAAAAAACTATTTAAATATATTTTGCAGATATTACTTTTTGTACAGATAAATTCTTTAAAAAGCGGTAAACATTGCCTCATGTATGATAATCAACAGTGCATAGAAAATTTGTAAATGGCACTTAACAAATGAAGTTAAAAGAAATTCTTTCTTTTTGTGTTTCTTTTAATTTTATTTTGGTAAATTATTTTCATGAAACAAAAAAACTTTTTTTTTTTTTCATTCTCAAAAAACGTCATAAGATATATGAATCTTTAAAACATAATATTTGAAGTTGGCACTTAACATATTTATATAGTTGAAAGAAATGCTTTCATTACTTTTTTAAATAATTTTTCAAAATTATTTTCATGAAACAAAAATATTTGAATTTTTTCTCATTCAGAAGAAAATCATGATAAAAATGCTTATACAGAGAGTCTTTAAAAGATTACATTTAAACTACACTATGCACTGTCTGCTCCTGAAACAACTGTCACTTACCATCCAGTATCCAAGAAGAAACGTGGTATTTTTCTAATTACTTGGAAATTTCCTAGCACAATATCAACATTTTAAAGGTCATGGAGCAGTAGGATGAGTGTCTTTAATTATAATCTTTCTCGGAAATCCTGCACATATGTAGGAAAAAACTCTAAACTTGGCAGGGTCATATCTTCTAAAGTAGACATAAAACCCTCACAAATTTTTTTGGTGAACTTGAGCAGGCATTGTAGATGTTAGGCAAAAAATATTATGGAAATTGAAGAGGACGTATTTTTGATAGACTGACCGTAAGCTACATAGGTAAAAAGTTGTTGATTTTGGGGTCATGTATTAGGATGAGCAAAATAAAATTTACTATCAAGTGTAGTCTTGAAATAGTTAAATATTTGGATTTTAAACTTATTTGCCCTACATACCAAATTTCATAAATATTGAAGGTATGGAAGTTTTTTTCTTTAATTTTTAAAAGACACTGAAATTCGGTGACATTGCATGGCCTCAATTTAGAGGCAAAATAGGAATGTTATACCCCCTCCTCCCCTTTAAAATTGGAACGGTAAAGTCTAGCACAAAATAATTTGGCACCCTTTCCTAACTCATGAAGGGGGGGCATTTGTGCCAAATTTCAAGTAATTTGGTGTCGGTGAGTGCAGATTTCAACTTTTTGCTGCTGTTTTGACATGGAATGACCTATAGTCTAATTACCATTTTTTTCTAGACTTTAGATGCATATACACACTAGCAAGCAAATATAGACTAGGTCAAAAATGCCTTTTGACAGTTTGTCAACTCCTGTGATCCCAGATTTAATTGAGACAAATTATTCACTGGCAATATTCTGTCAACTCTAATGATTCTTGCTTTTGCTTTTTACTATTTGAGCCAAAATTTTAAAACCGTGTGATAAAGCAACCATTTTATTTGGTTCTAAACTGATTGATTTTTCTCCAAAATTTAAGTGGGGAAAAATGTATCTTGAAAGTTGGTCTTTTTGGGTAAATATAATATGCCACAAAGTTTTTTTTTTTTTTTTTTTTTTTTTTTTTGAGGAGCAGTGTGCAAAATTTTGACATGGAATGCACATTGTCATAATCCTATTCACGTCTACACGCAGAAAGCTACTGCACTAACAAACTACAAAGGGATCCCCTTCATTTTCCTCTCTACAAACTACAATCAAGTCAAAAAGTGATGGAAAGTAGCTACAAAAAGAAGATACACAACTGCAAAGAGAGAGGGGGGGGGGCAGAAAGGGATTGAGAGAGGAGATAATGTATGCTAGACAAAACTTGACCACAGTCTATATTTTATTTCAGCTGGGATTAAACTTCACACAGGGTTACTTTTCTTTAAGATGTCTTGGATTGTGGGATCAGCTTTCACTATCAATGATGTTCTAATTTTTCAGCAAATTTGACTCTCATGCATGTATGCACACTCAATGAGGATAAAATACAGACATCTTTCGCCGGGGTGTTTATAAAGTGTACACTTCAATTATTTATATTAACAAGCTATTTTTAATCACAAAACTATTTGGATTAAACAAAAATTACTTCCTATTTTACAATACTTATTATTTATAATACATCTCTTTTTTGACAGCATGGGTACACAAGTGTGTATGTGTATATATATATATGCGGGCACTTGAATGTGGTGTAATGGTTAACAAGCTTGTCTCACTAGATCAATTACAACTGAATAGTGAGTTCAATCTTCACTAGGTACCCCATTCTTTTGGCCTTGTGCCACATCTAAGCTACACTTAGAAAAAGGGCACCTCAAGGCGGTGTAATGGTTAGCAAGCTTGTCTTGCTAGAACAATTACGACTGAGTAGTGAGTTCGGTTCTCACTGTGTGCCCATTACTTTCGGCCTTGTACCAAGCTACACTTGGAAAATAGCTATATATATATATATATAAACAAGATTCATTTACTAAAAAAAAATATTCTTGACTATCACTAGCTTACTTTTGCCTTACCAAACTTGAAATTATGGCACTTTGTGTCCTCTACATGTTTTGACTGACCTGATGAATATTCATGAACATTCTCAAATTTAAAAGCTTTGCTAAACCAATTACATCTAAGGAGCTTTCCTCTATGGTACCTAAACTTTATGGATTTAAGTACTGTACTAAATTGGCAGCAAGGTCTCATAATTTTACAGTTGAAATGGCTCCATGCCTAAGTTCTATGCTAACAGTTTGTTCTCTTGCTCTTCTCGCTTGTGGAACTCGTTTCTGGCTTTTTGCTTTCCAATTAACTTTCATATTAAAAAAATTTAAATGCAATGTCAATCGTTATGTTCTGTCATCTTAATTATTGTTCTCTCTACTTAGTAGTTTTTCTCAAATTCTCCAACACTCACTAACCTCTTTTGGTTCTTAGTGGCTTTATTGCCTTTGGATCTTTAAAAATTTAAATGCAATGTCAAGTGTTACCTTCTGTCATCTTAATTCTTGTTCTTTATTGTTCTCTCTTTTTAATGTTTTTTCTCACACTTTTCACTCAGTAATCCCTCATGTCTGAGTGGCTTTATTGCCTTGCTTGGAGTGAAATGATTAAAAAAA